AAGCAGATTTAAATAGGAAACAGCAGTAATTCACATAGGATTCAAAAGGGAGAAAAACATTGTTGGGACCTAGCGGAGGTTAACCTTGTGATGGCCCTAAGTCACGTTATGAAGTTGGATAGCTCTTCAGGTGCAATATGCTGTGTCAGATGGCCATGCCTGGGAGGTCTGAGGTTTAGGGACTGATCAGAACGTAGTTTTGCTTGATTGATATCAAGATTAGGATAGAAATGACTGCAAGTGACCCCTGCTGAGTATGGGCTGCTAGTTTTCTCCAAGTAAAATACCTTGGAATCTTGCTGCTAAAAGTTTGCTCTTTCTTGTAACTTAAAAAAGAGGAAAAGAAACTGTGTGAGGTAATTCTGTTTTTGATTAATTTGTATATACATGAGTAAAGAAGGCAACATTGGTTGAGATAAGTTCTAAACAATGCAGAAATTCCTTGTTGCTGTCATATAGAATGGTTAAGTGCACTTGAATTACAATACTGATGGTATCTCTTAAAAGGAGCTTAATTTTAGCCTTACTCCTATACGCTAATTTCATTGTGTTGAAAAGCCATTTTAGTAAGTGAAACAGAACATGGGAGCTTCAGGGCCTGTAAAGTTTTACTATATATTAATTTGAAACATATTTGATTTTATAGTTGTTGATTGCCTTTTGGTGCAAATGCTGACAACCATAGTGTTTATATTTCACTTTCTGTTACTGTGTCTTCATTCTTCTATTTCTTGGTTCTATTTTATGTCTTTTAATGTGTTAAAATGAAGGGAATGAAATAGGAAACAAAGAAAAGAAAGTACTGCAAATTTGTGGAAATATCTTTCCCTCCAAAATTACAGTGCTGCAGAATTTGTGTTATGGCATAGTTAGTGCAGAATTGATTTTTTTTTAGGTTATACTGTGTGATTTCGTACATGGTACGTAAGAATACTGGCATAACAGTGAATGTCATAAATCAATTATTAGCTCATTTGGTTTTAATGTATTTTTTATTTGCTAAAAGGCTTCTCAAGTTGTTTTTACATTTTAATAGAGTATGAGTCTTTACCACAGTTTAATCATTCTCATTTATTGAATATAAAAAACAGCATTTGTCTTTTCTGTCAGCTTTGCTGCTATTTAAAATTCTGTGGAAAAACATCTGCTGGTTTAGAATTTTAAGTTCCATTTTTCTGCATACAATAGAATCAGCATCAGTACGAAAAGAATTAAGCAATTATTTTAATCTTCAATTTGGCTTGTTTTCAATCAAATTACTTCATTATTTAATTTTATCACTCTGTGGAGTTAAAGAGATGTCTAGTTAATTAAAAAATATGTTTTTACAAATACATGAGTATTCATAGGTGCAGATAATTTCAGATTATTAATGGGGAGAATATATGAAGATTCATCCAGTGTTTGAGAAAGTCTCCTTTATTGCCTTTTTAGTAAGATGTATTAATGTCACTGAAAGAGCATCTCCAGTGCTATCCTAAAATGCATTGTGAAAATCAGAAGACAGTTTGTAAACACCTCATGAACTAATGAATGAGAAGAGGAATGCTTAGAATTCCAACTGTTTCAAGAAACTAGAAAGTACTACATGCTGCAAACGTAAAATAGCTCAGATACTGAAAAAATATATATATGGGTATGTGTAAAAATTTTTACTGTGGTGTTATTTCCTCAGTGTGTTAATTATTGTTAAATAAAACTTCCTTCTTTCAACTGAATTGGAGAGGAATGCAGAGTGGTGTTAACGTGCTCCTCTTACTACTTACTACTGTTGTTTCTCTTGCTGAGGTTCAGGCTGCCATCTTTCAATGGCAGAGTGCCTTTTCATACTTCTAAAAGTCTAGGCAGTGCAAAACAGATCAAATAATACTTTTAAAATTATATGCAGAAGTAATAAGATTATTAAAGTTGGGGAGTTAGGCACCAGGAGTTGCCTGCTGCAATGTTCCAAGCTTAATGTAGTCTTGTTGTACGTATACGTTATGATAATTCTGTTTCTTGTCATACTGAAAATCTGTTTCAGCTTTTCTTATACTCAGGATTGTCATCTGTCTCTTTTCAATTCTGTACTCCATCTCTTGTCTCTCACGTACATTGAAAAGTTAACTATTTTGAAGAAATATTATCTGATCATGTAAAAAGCTGATAGTAAGTGATAGGCTCTGAGGGATCAAATTAATGCTGCATGAGAAGTGGAGTTGTCAATAAAATACTTTAGTTGGTGGTTTGGTCCTGCTTCTCCCTACAGTTATGCTAAGGCCTGGATAGCAGCTACAGAACTGCTTGCAGCTTGCCAGTAGAAAAAATAAGTACTAAAAGTAACGCAAAAACTAGCCTGTATCTGACTAGTTTTGGAAAGGTTCCTAGGAGGTACAGTGAAGAAAACTCATTGATTATGGAGTTTTTCTGTGTTTTGAATTCTGATTACAATGTGATGAACTTGACTTGTGATATTTCTATTCAGAGTTATGCATTTTTGACTCTGACATTATTTGCGGGAGAGGGGAAGTTTTGTTTTTATTGATGTACGAAGAGATCTCGGGTTCAGAGGCTTTGTTTTTTTCAAGCCATTGTCTGAGTTCCTAAACTGAAGAAACATCTAGCATCTGGAACTGGGCTGTGAGTTTTCACATAATAATGCTTGGCTTCTTACCAAGTTGTTTTTAATAACTGTTTCTTAAGAATTATTTAGTTAATGTCTCTAAAGTATGCCTGGGTCAGACACCTCTGATTTGTGACTTGCTTGTCAGCATGTCCTCTTGGGTGACAGTAGTTTTCTCCTGTCCTTTTCTTCTGAGATTGTCTGCTAGTTCTGCTGTGGCCACTTGCAGGTTAGAATTCCTGTTCCCTCTCATTACTTGCATTGTGATGACATCTAAATGCTGGTATTTAAAATATATTTGTGTGTACATACACACAAACACATGTATATGTCCCTGTATGTGTGTGGAAAGAAGCATCTGATTTGGAATGTTGCAGTTATTAATGAAAGGAGTGGAAGTAAAATTGGTCTTGACAACCTGTGTTTGCTTCCCTGTTACTTCTTATGGAAGTCATAAGCTCCCTTTGAGTCCTTAAAGATCCTGTTACGGATTGTTGATTGAGAATTCATTTCTTTGAGTATGAATGCATATCCATGACAGCTGAGAGCTGTGGACAAATTTTAGGGTTCAGAACTGAAGGTTCAACATCTGGCTGATAGAACATGTTCACCAGGGGTTATTCTGCTCTGAAGTTGCTTTCTTCTGTAGGTCTCTGTCAAAAGCTGAGTGAGGTCGTTTAACTCGAGGGAGTGGTGAAAAGCCCTTCTGTTTACTGAGACATTTCCCTGTTGTAGTGGCGGTGAAGTGTACTGATGTTCACAAATGTGGTTATTCTTTCTCAAATGTACTTAATTGATTCTTTTCAACTAATTCATATTATTGTGTTTGGGTTTTTTTTGAAAGAAATTTTTAAAGCAAATCTTAATGGTGTAATGGGTTGTTACAGTCTTTGAAGGGGAAGAAGTCTAATGATCTTGCAAATAGTCTCACTCACTTTGTATTCAATATTGAAATTACTGATTTAGTTTGGGAGATATCCTATATCATACAGGTGACATTCAAATTCTAATCAAAACATCACAGAATCACAGAATACCAAGGTTGGAAAAGACATACTTCATGAACCTTTGTTGACTGGTAAAAAGAACATCATGAAACCTATTCCTGGATGGAGAAATTGTGTTTATCTGCAACATCATAACATACTGGAAGAGATTTGAGTTAACATTTTCACAAGAGGAACAGAGACAACATTATTACAAAGATGCTTCAAGTGCAAATATTGGCACCGGATTACATTAATTTGTTCTTGTAGTTGTTTGAATGAATAATTTAATTAACTGAAGAAGATACTAAGGCTTGTCTACATGAGAAAGCTATGACAAAATAAGTTATGTTATTGAAGTATAATAGCTATTCAGCACTGACTCTTTACATGAGCAGTTTTATTCTGTACTGCAAATGTCCTTTCACAATTTAGATGACTTAAAAATATGCAAGTTCTCTCTAGCTCCAACAGTGAATTAATATTTATGTAGGGAGTTTATGTAAGATAGCTACTACCTTAAAAAACATATATTGTTATTCTGTGCTACACTGCCATCATTAAAACATCGTTACAACCAAGTATTGCATTATATTTCAAATGTATTCCTGCAGGTACTTGTATGTTATACAAGGTCTCTATTCTGAGAATGTTTACAAAAATGTTTCACGTGTTGATACTATGATTAAGTTGGCATTAGTTTGTCCAGGGTTTTTCACTGCAATCAAAGATGTTGGTCATACAACTTTGCTGCATGTGTGATAAATTAATGTACTCATTACCTAAATCAGGTTTACTTTCTTGGTTTAGTTGATATATAGAGACTTACAACGTAAAGAATATGGCAGCATTAATCATGACCAGTGTTTAGGATTCAGTCATAAATAACTTGTTTTATAGCAGCAAAATCACTGAAATACCTTTATTCTCTTAGCCTGATATTTTAAGAGTATGATGAGAGCTTAAGTCCCCTGCATTGTTATGTATGTAATAGATAGGGTAGGTAACTAGGTAAACAAGGAGATATCCTATGTCCAGTAGCATCTAAGCACGGTCACTTCTGCTTTCTGGCTTTCTGATGTAGTGAGTTACAGATGCAAATATGGAAGCATTCACATGAGAAAATAAGAAAATGATAGTAACGTGGATCTCTTAAATATGCAAAGGCAGTAATATTGTGTATTAATACATTTTTGGTATTTGTATGATATGCATTTTGACTTTCCATGAGAATATAGCATCAAATATTTTAATTTACTTGTTTTGCAGCTTTTATATTCATATTACTTTTGTTCTAAAGCAAAAATACATGTTATTTTTCAGGAGTTTTTATCACATTAAGATTTGCTATCTTCTAATGTTTTTCCATGCATTTCTTAAATAAACTTTCTATGGTTCTACAATTTTCTAAGAAAATAGAAAAACTGGGATTAGAGCTGAATGGAAACAAGCAGCGTTTGGAACAAGCCCAGCAGGATGTGGCAGGAGCCAGAGAGGACTGCCTAAAACTGACAGAACTGCTGAGTAAATCTGAGCACCAACTGCACCTCACCAGGTACCCCTTATCCTATTACATGCTATAGTACCAATTTCATTCTCCTAATGTTTTTGCCACAGGCTTTCCCCACAGCTGATAGCTGCAGTCATTGCATGGGCAGCCCCCCAGACATATTAAAAGTGGAGACTTGAATGACTGAGTTATGAACTATAAGCAGCTAAAAATTAATTACTAGTGTGAAGCAAAGGCAATGTTTAACTCCAGTGGTGAGGTATCATACTCGTACCCTTTCCAGCTCTTTTTCCTGCCTGCAGCTACTTTCTTGTTCCTGTGTTTGGTGGGACAAGAATACTTTAAAATGTCATTTCAGACTGTAATGTACAGCAGCACCCTTAAGCGAAGGAATTTGCAGATTAACAATGTGAAGTTTATGCAGGTGAATGACCAGGAACATATAAATGTATCTAATCATGCTAAGCTTCCTTGAAGATTAAACAATCAAAAGGTAATATTGCTGTCTACGCCTAGGAGAGAAACTCAAGAATGTGTAGAGGGTGTTGAAGTCACCTGTTCAGTGGTATGTGATGTTATTCATTACACGTTTCTAGAAAATAACAGAAGATTATCCTGCCAGTAAGTCATTTCAGCTTGAGTTAATTTTTTTTCCCTTTTGTCACACACAGCATTATTGTCTTACTGTTGGAAGGTTTTGGTTGTGTATGTGTTTGGCTTTTTCTAACTCCTCCCCTCTTGTCACCTGAAAACTGAGTATCTGGATAGAAATCTGAAGACTTTTACTCAGTCCTTAATCAAAAAGTTGAGTTAATTTAAATTTTACATGGGAGGGGAAAAAACCCTCAGATTTTTATCACTTAACAGACTGTCTGTATGTTCATCCAAGTCTTGTACTCTTTGGGTTTATGAGAATTCTGCCATTGAGTAAATGGAAATAAAATAGAGCTTCATCTAAACTATTAAATTCAATGAATCAATTTTTTATTCAGCTCCATTTCTGTGTAATTCAGAGCACGGTAGTTTAACAGATGGAAGAAAGTACCACTCTAACAGCCTGTATTTAGAGAAAAAATATGCTAGAGGTTAATGAACTTGAAAAAAGTTTTGGGTGAGTTGTTAAGATATCTAAAGTTTTGATTTAGCAGAACTTTATTAATAATGATTTGTTGTGATAGTTAACCAAATGGCTTACCACGCTCCTTTTAGCACAGGGCTGATTATATGCAATAAAACTCTGGATATCTTGGAGGAAGTCTGATAGCCAATGAATTTTTGTGAAAATACATGGCTTGTGTAAATCAGCACTATTTAGTGCTTTTACATAGTGTGGCACCTCTGGGAAGGTGTAACATACAGATGACTTAGATATCTTTACAGTCTATGGTGTCAAACTCAGGAATTCTGTGAGCTGCAAATCAGTGGAGCCTGGGAGCAGTGTTTGGGGCAAGTAATGACCTATGCTGGCCCTGTTCTTACAGTCTTTAGTAGACATCTGCTTTTATCTGCTTTTTGAGACAGGCAGTGAATTAGTACAGCTTCTTTGTTTGACTGAGTGTGGCCACTCTTCTGAGATGTCCTAATCTTTGATAATTTTTTATACATCATGTTTATATTATGTTTTCTGATTGTAAGTGTACGTTTTAGGTATGGACATGTTTCTATGCTGGCATATGATCATAAGATGTGTACATTAATGCTTGGGAAATCGAGTTACATGAAGGAAAAATATTTGAATCAAATTCTATAATACTGCTTAGGTTTTTTTAATATTCTCTTTATCTTCTTTCCGGGAATACAGTAGGTGATGCTAATGTCACAAGTGGTGGTTGAAGGATGAGATATATATTGCTTCTGAACTATTACCCCCTGGTCCCTCCATAGCTATATTGGTAGCACAGGGTTAGAGATGTTTTCATGCTGTCTTCTGTTTTCCCCAAGTCACAGTGGAAAAGATACCCAACTCAAGTTGCATTTTTCCTCAGCCTGTACTCTCCTTCTCAGATCACTTCTGGTGGAACAAGCTTACTGTACTAGTGAAGGGTCAAGATTTACATGTCTCTAATGGCATTACAGTTCTGTGTTGTAAAGGCCATTGTGTTTTTAATGTGTGGTACATCCATAGTTGTCATGTGGACTTGATTCACTTGCAGTCTGTCCTCCATTCTTTATTCCCTTCACCTGAAAGGGCAGTTGTGCCAGAGATAATACTCATTTGAAGGGTAGTGGTAATTGCAATCCTATGGGGCTTGTGGAACTGTTCACTGGCATTTGCCAAGGAGAACAGATTTTAAGCTCTAGAGTCCTCCCTGTGGGAGGTCGCTACAGAAATTGCACTGATTCAGTGCATCTCTTGGGTATTCTGGCCTTGGCCTCGTCTTACTGATTTCCCTGTTTTCAGGACAGAACCAGCTGGTCAACTGCAAGTCTCCTCTAAAAGCTGAACTTGAGGGAGTCCCGTACTGCTGTTATATCGTTGTGGATGATGTTTCTGTTGCCTTGCATGAACATTCTTTGTTCTGGCAAAAATTATATATAGCTGAGGAGTTACAGAAAGAATTTTTTGCTTTGTATCACTTAGTAAATTACTAATCAAGAAAGCTCTTTACTAATCCACTGATTCTAAGCTTGGATATTGTAAATAAATAGAATAATAAAATGAATACGAGAGCTTTAGATTTTAGGATATAAACATGAGACAATAAAGATCATATGAATGGATTAAATGAGAAAGAGCATACAAACTATGTCTTAGTGAGGAAAAAAAGTGCTCTGCAGAGCTGTACTCTTGTTCAGGAGTCCCACTTCTTTTCTTGCATCCCAGTTTTCAAACCCCGTTGATTGATTAACTGCTAAACAGCTTCTACGTTAACAAAATGTACTTGTTAAAAAAATCAAGGAAGAGGTTACAATTAGCTATTCTAAACCATTGCACAGAGTTTAAATTTGCCTTTTCCTGTCACCTTTGTTTCTGGAGCAATATGTTGCTTAGAAATCTTTGCTATTAACATGCCTTCCTACTATTGAATCTAGTTAGTAATTCTAACATGTATGTTTTCAAATAACTGGGAAAATATGGAACCTTTGAATGCAGTTTCAGTTGTCAGTTGTAATTTTGTAGATATCACCGTGTTACGAATCTGACCATACTTGCATAACTTTTCTGTAGTTTTGTTAACCCTACTTTTGACTTTTGTATTTACTTACAGTAGTTTCCTTAGTAGAAAAATCTTCTGAATTTACTTCTAAAGCCAATTTTAAGTTCTTACTTTGACATGGTTGGGTCTTGCTGATTAAGCTTATCTGAATCTGTTCCTCCAGGCGTATAAAACATACAGATCTATTGTTCTTGGCTCATGAGAGAGTGATTGTTAAAAATCATGTTGGTATGCTAGTGGAAAAGATCACATGAAAGATGCAAGACCCTAACGGCTTGCAAAGATTTTAGCATGTCATCTAATTTAATAAAAACTTTCACTATTCCAGTGTAATGCAATCATCATTAAAAAGCCTTTCCTCTTTTTGTTACAAAACAAGTCAGAATTTATTACTTGCTTTGGTTTGTCAGATGTAGTTCTTCTTTTCATATGCCAGAACAGTTAAATCTTAAGAGTTGGAGGAATCACAGAATTTCAAAATTGAGCTTTTTCGGTGTCATCATGTGTTTTCTCAGACGTGGACATAGGTAGAGGGCTCAAGCTATGCTTGGATGTAATGCCATCTAAAATTGAACGGGAGATGCAATTGAATAGAATTGGAGCAGATTTTTTATTTATTATTTACTATCATTGTTTGCATATAGAAAATGTTACAAATGGTACTGAATGGTTTCTAGGTGAAGAAAAGTTTCTTACTCAGATAACTGAGCTTCTCTGTTCAGTTAAATGTGATGTGTCAGGGTAAATGAATGCCTGTTCCACTTCCTTGAACAATAAAGGTGGACAAGGGGATGTTGTTTTTCTTCTTTTCAGTTATGTGATATTTCTTTTCTCCCTCATTTTCACAAATCAGATGTTATCTAGAAAGCAGTGTATCAGAGACTGTGGTATTCGGGACTAAAGTGGATTTCAGTAGTGCCTTCTATGCGCAGATCTGCCTAGCAGCCTTTTGTTAATTTCAACAACACCATTAACTCTAATTGTAGTGCATGTATAATAAATAAAGCACATAAATCTATCATTCCACATCCAGGTTCCTGTGGCATTATCTAGTCACAACTTTGCTGTTCTGCTCTGTGATGTCACCAGCATTCCTTATTAGAATTGTTAGAATTGATGTGTACCTGCACATCAGATTTCCCATTTAATCTATACTATTAAATCCTAAAATATAAATTAACTTCTTGATTTGTAGGATTTAGTTCTACATAGTCAGCAAGGTACTTGCACAATGCCTGATATTATCTGTTGCGTTTGGGTGTTTGTTGTTGTTTCAATTTTTTTTCTAGGAGACAGTAGTTAGCAGCACACTTTCTCCAACAGTTTTAGCACATCACAAAGAGTCCATTGACTCTGCTGGAAAGAAGATAACAGTCAAAGAAATGTTGTTGCTAATATTAAATGACTGAGATACTGTTTTATGTTCCCAGAGTGGCTGACTGACGAAAGGATCAATAGCACTTATACTGGGGAGGAGGGAAAGGGGAAAAGCAGAAATGAAGTGTAAGCAGTGATTGATTTCAATTTTTTTTTTTTTTATATTTGCTAATTTTACATAAAAACCATTATTTTAAGATGCAGGGGGGAATGGTAACACGAAACAACTCCGGTAACTAATAAACTTTTTAGATCTTGCTTCGTATGTTTACTTTTCATTAAATTTAGGGACGGTTGCAACTGTGTTGTTGCGATTCAGTCAACATTTATTTCTATCTGTTTTTCATATACAAAGGCATTGGGATGCCAGAAAATAAACTGTTAACGGAGAATTAACTTCTTTGGCATGCTTTCATACTTGTCTTCCAAATTAAAGAAAATGAAATGGGCAGAAGCAGAGTGTAGATTACCTCCTTTTTGTCAAAAATGGTGGGAATTTGAAAATTAATA